CTGATGATGGTGGAAAACACCGAAACGTTTTTTTAAATTGATAAATGAACAATAAATGACTGAAGAACCCAGGATTTGATTTTAATTTTGGAATATTTACAGTATAAATGATAAACAGGATCAACAGCTTGCTTGAACATAAACGAACTAAAATTGAGATTTCGTTCTTGATTTGATTGGACTTCTAATATATTCTTATCAATATATATATATATATATTCTTATCAAGTTCCTAAAATAAAATTCGCGCCTTGCATTACGTGTATCGTGGTTGCTTTCTGCGAAATATGAGTGATTCAAGTAACGCTTTTAAAATAGAAGCAGAAATAATTTCAGTTTTAAGTAGAACGATTTTGATAGTATAAATTGCATCATGAGAGTAGTCAGTATTTGTGATTTTGGGGTAGCGGTGTAAGCTCTTAAGCAGACTCACTATCATCCCTCCGATGATGCAAGTGGAAGACCACACGTCAGGAAGAAATTCTATTTTACGACCTAAAAACCCGAAAAAATATAATGTGCTGCTACTTCAATGAATTTGTAACACAAAAACGAAGACTGCTTCGAAGGGAAGAAGTCCTTTGCGCATCTTCGTCAGAATGCTTCTGAAATGTGTTCATATAGGGGCAATGAAAGAGTAGAACATACAGGAAGACAACAGGAAGCAAATGACCGCAATGCATAGGTGCTATATGCTACCTGGGCGGTGAGAGAAAGGTTTTAGCGAGTACACAGGTAGACTGTATTCACATCTAAGCACATCGGAATATTAATTCTGGGCAGTGTGCATGAAATAATTAGCGAAACGTCTTCGTCAATAGAAAAACAAGATGAGTAACCGCCTAGAATAGAGCTTCTTTTTCAAAGGTTTAGATTTAAAGCTTCAACCCGACGGTTATTTTAATAAATTTCTCATCATAGAAGCTTTCAAAAGTCTTGACAATTTACATTACAAATTGTGCAGCTCATACTAGTTTAGTTCAACATCTAAGAAACCAGTGTTCCAAGTCAGATTCAAGAGATAACATTTGGGTAGTTGAGGAAAAGTGAAATATTTATAGGTTAACCATGGGGATTTTATTTAAAGTTACAGTTCTTTTATTAACATACAGACAAGAGGTATTAAATCATAAGCACCTAGAATACCAGCCCGCTAATACATCTGAGTCGATAGCACGTAATTGGTAAATATTTATATTTATACTATGGAATATTAAGGAAAAAGACAACAATCATTTTTAATTTAAAACATGACCCATTGGATAGTCGTTTAAGTATTTGCGTAGAATATTGGTCATGCAAATTTAAAACGATACTGCTTAATTTGACTTGCTTCTGTAACGATAACGAGCCTGTAGTTTTGTTATCTTTGTTTACGGTCAATAAAAAAATTTTGTTTCTTTTTTTGGCGACTGAGGCTCTGACTGATAACAACGGATATAATGCTACCTAAACCATAAATATATAGTTATTTCTTAATTATACCTCACTAATCAAACTCAACTGAGTTTCAATTTGGATATTTTAAAACCCATTTCAATAGAACATCCATATACAGCGTACAAAAATATATTAGAACGTTGGAGTTGTTCGAAAGAGATAAGGGAAAAAAGATCTGTACAAGGAGATATATTATATGTGACTTGTGTTAAAACATTAATAAAACTTACATCGGCTTCCATTAAGACATTTTTTCTACATGTAAAATTAATTGTATGTCTGGCAACTTAGAAACTCCCATCTTCAACTCGATGAAATAGCAACAGTTTCATGTCTTAATACTGCTATATTAAAATACCAAAGAGTATTTTAAATATTAAAATATATAAAAATATATTTTCGGTAAACGTTTGGGCTGAAATTTTTATCACTGATTTTTACCAAGCTTTTTTGGAGAACGTTTTAATTGGCTGTTCATTAAACGAGTAATTTGGCTTTGGTTAATTGATTTATCCCATACTCCAAGAATCATAAACTATTTTTGAAAATACTCCGAATGGACTTTAAGTAAAAATTGTAATTTTTACAGTTATTATTATTTTTGATTCACAGTTTTTTCAGTCTTTTAAAATGTATTTTATTTGTCATTTTGCGTATAATTTTGCCAACTTTCTGTAGCAAGTTCGCACTTCTTTCGAGTTGTTGTTGAACCACAATATTGGAACGATCTTTGTACTCGCTATATTCGATATTTTGTCTGAATATTACGGAAATATCAAACTATGTTGTGTCATCCGTTCTTGTTTTCATCACTTTCCTGTAGTGTTAATGACGTTTGATACCAGTACTCTCAGCCAAGTGATCTGAAAAACCGATTTCAAAAAAATGCCGCTCACAAATAGAAAGCACATCAAAATATTGTCCAAAGAAGTATTTTCGCGTATATCTTGATCTATAAAGCCACCAAACGCTTGCACAGAAGTTCATTAATATTGTTATTCTTATTATTACTATCATATGATAAATTCATAATTCTGTATGTTCTGCACCTACACCTAGTTAATTGAAAAAATCCATAAAATTGTATGTATTGCGTTTATAGCGTTAAAACATAAAACTTAACCCAATCTAGATCTTTATATTTCACCCGATTTCAAAGCTTCCTTTGAAAATGTCCATTGTTATTTTGCACAAAAATTTCCAGGATTTTTTAAAAGAAAATTAAGTGGAATTTGTTAATGTTCAAAGTACTTTAATCAATTAGGTGCCCAGTTAGAGACGTATCTTTTTCTGGTTTATTGCCAATATTGGTCACAAATAGAAAGACATCTGAAACAAATCTACGCCTAGAAACGAAGCCAGAAGAAAATTAGAACTTACTTAAATAAAAACTACTCTATTGAGTTTAGTTTCTGCTTGCTACAGTAGATAAATTCATATTAAATCATTGGCCTAATTAACTCTCTTAGATCATCAGTTGGTTTATTAATAGAATCAAAAATAACATTGACACATTTTAATTTGATTCAATTATTATTCATTTTTTTACAGATTCCCGATAGATCTACATTATACGCAATCGGAATTAAATTCATATTTCTAAAGCTTTACTGTTTAAATTAGCAACAATTCTACTATATGCAAATGCTATAAATTTGAATGATGTCATCCCCCGTTTAGGCGCTTTCGAGTCTGTTTTTACAATGATTCCACAAATTATTTAATAAATATGGAAAAGGTCTGTTTTTGTTTGAAAAGTGATTTTGCACTTTCGCTGTTACGAACTCAATTGAGAGCTAAAAAATTTATAAAGCACGAATATTAACATTTTTGATTAAAGAAAATTAAACTAAATAAATAAAATTATTAGACCAGTCTATAGTTATGTATTTATATCAAATGTATTGAATAGAAAACTTACATTGCAAATTAAATCCGGTCAAGTTTCAGGCGCACCACAAAAAGAGGTTTTCCACGCGAATAAGCACTGTCCGAAAATAACTGGGAAAATACGCGATTCCAGGCGTGGATTGGATCAATAAAACTTCCTCGACTGATTTTTACTCAAACCTCCTGAACAAATATTCCAGTTATCTCTCGTGCGCTAGACGAACGATAAGAAAATGCCTCGTATCTGTTCATATGCACAAAACTGATTCACTATTCACCTTAACCTGACTCTTGTTAGGTAGAATATACGTAACTCTTACTACACTACATACCTGTAGAAAATTTTGTTTTGATGGTCTCACAGGAAGGAGTGGGTGGTCGCGCTTTAATGCCGACGTTTGTTTCGGCTTGATCGCAGCTCACTGCAAACAGAAACAGGACTTGGCCTATTTTTATGTTTGTTATGTTTAAATCGACTAAATGGGATGGAAATTAACGATTTGGAAACGTGCTATACTTAGTAACATGGGGATGGTTTCTATCAAAGATGATCCAAATACATTGGAAACAGTACACAGGAAAAAACCTAAAATGCTTAAACAAATTGGACCGCTAGTGCATGCTTAAACCATCATTAGATTAGATAAACTTAGATAATAGCCATTGAGTGTTACATAAAAAAATCGACCAAAACTGACATTTCTAGATATTTCGTAATATTACTCCTATGTAACATAACTTGAATGTATGCTTTAAATTTACATTTTTTTCTATTCACATTTGATATAACTCCATTTATACTATTTTTATTTCGGTATCACTTGTAGCGAAAGGTGGATAGTTATCCTGATGCCCATCAGCAGAATAAGTAGCCCGATTCTTCTGGAATCTTCTCGGTTAGCAAAGGCATGTACAAGTTCTCAGGTATGTAACAATTAATTTCAAATCGTATTCCAAATAAAGTTGAAAACTTAACTTAAAATAAATGTTTAAAGTGGCCTCCAGTGCAGCTCCGACAACTTTTATGAAATATATTTTTATTGAGCAACATTCGCTTGTCTAGCGGCTCTAAAAACTCCTTGTCTTAACTCTTTGCGAGCTTCGGGTAAGTAAACTAAACTGCCTAATTTTACAAACTAACTAATTAAACTTACTAAAAAAACCTAAGTAAACTTTCCTAGCTCCAAGAAAAAGAAAATCTAGTCGAACTAAATCCGGCAAGTGTGGTGGCCACAAAATAGGACCTTGTCGTTCAATCCGTCTACGTGAAAAAATCTTAAAATCTTTTCGATAGAGTAGTGATGCGTTATTTGCACTGTTTCCACACTCTTGATACTTGCCAATAATGTAACCAAGAACTGCACCAAAAGCAACGAAGCCTAAATGAAAAGAAAACTAAACCAAAAGTACCACTCAAATGCAAAGTGGCAACAATCATACTAACAAAGTATACCTACAGGGAGTCCCGCCTGAGTAATGAATAAACTATTAGATACCTTTAATTGTTGAGTATGTGCACTTTTTTAATATATTTCAGATTGAAGCCGCTCTGTGTTCCTTTTAGAGCCCTAAAGTAAGCTTAAATATAGCCAAAACCTTGGCTAAAGAAAAACCGTGTTTCATTTTTTGCCATCATCAGACTAATAAAACCAAATACCTAAATAGTCATCATTTGGAAATAAATGTATTAGAAATCAGTAAACAATATTGATAGACCAACAGCACAATCTCAAATATTATAATCGCGTGAGAATTAGTGGTATGCGATTTGATTAGTTTTAAATACTCGTAAAGACTAGTTAGTTTTTAGGCCATGCGACGAAGTCTTTCAAATATGGTTCTAACGTGACGTAACTTAAATAACTATTGGAATCGCTCGGGAATAGTATACCAATTGAAAATATTGACGTGCGCCAGCTTGAAAAGTTGTGCTATTTGCATAAACAACGAAAAAGTGAAAAAAATATCACAATCAAGTGCAGTCTTTTATACGAACATTTCATTTTAGTTAATCTTCAAGCAAAATTGTTGCGCTTGCTGCTGCGAGTTAAACACTCGCACATCACTTCAAGCTTTTAGCTCGAAAATAATTTATGCTCAATTCTCTGACCTGAATTAAACAATAAGTTAATACTAATTAATACTATTCTCCTGATCTCCTAAGCGAAAGCACTATTTTTGTGTATTCACGTCATTCGATTGCAAAGTGAGACAATCAATTATTAAATTGGTTGTGACGTAATGCAGAATCTGGAAAAACAAAATAAAACGCGAAGAAATGGAATCATACGTGTGGGTATTAAATTATTTGTTTTCATTAATGTACGGAATCAATAATCCTTTATAGAGTGATTCAAAATTCCTTCCCTTTACGCGACTAAAGGGGGTCACTTGGAGAGTAGGAGGAAACTACTTAAATTTGTTTTCGAGAGAATATAGAAGTTATTAACTGTTGAAAATAAAATTTCAACTTTGATAATAAGTATTATTTTGAAATGGTCCCATGTTTGCACGTAGAATTAGAAATACTTAGTGAATCAAAGGAAAACTTACAATTTTTACTGCAAATTATGAACATTTTTGATACTAGCAAAGTCATCTTATACATTTTTTTTGGTGCAAATTTAAATCGCCAGCAATGTTTTGTCATTATCAGGAAGTTACAGGTGGCTAGCTTTTGTACAGAATACCAAACATTTGACAAATTGTGACTTAGTCTGATGCTTTTTTCACAAAATGTACACCAGTGTGTATATACAGAATGATTCAAAATTGGCGTCATTCCTTTTAAATAGGAGCTCACTTGGAAAGTACGAGAAAAATAGTTAAATTTTTTTCCGATAATTTCTAGAAGACATTATCAGTTGAAAATCGAATTTCCACTTTGTAACTATGCATTACTTGAAATTGCTCCGTGCTTAAATTGATAGCATTTTGGAATACTTAAACATTCAAAAAGAAAAATTACGATCTTTGCTTCAAATTATGAAAATATTTTATATTAAATACCTTATCTTCTACAATTTGTCGATAAAAACTCAAAGCAGCAATGCTGTTTTTTGTCATCAACATAAGTTATAGGTGGATAGCCCTTGTCAATAATAACAAGAATTTGTCAAACTGTGACTTACTTTGAAGCTTCTTTCACGAATTTGCGGATATGCGATTAGTTCTGAAGAGACCACAGTAATATTGCAGAAGCGGTAAGAACTCACGCCAACAAAGGGCTAGAGATACTAGAGATTGAATCCAGGAAGATAGTGGACGACATTTGATGTTCGGGTTCCAGACACAGAGGAACAAGTATTGGACATAATCACAGCAGAGCCTTCCCGGCGCACTCAGAGCATTGCACAACAACAGACACTTTCCTAGGCGCCAAATAAATACCGAGGAAGGGCTATATTCCTACTACGTATGTAAGATACGCACAGCACAAGAACACATTAAAACAATGGCTCACTGAACACCGGTTCAAATTAATTAGGAGTTAATTAACCGAATACGAGAAGCTGCTCGAGAAAGGAGATAATGAGACCTCGAGAATAGGATGTTTCATATAAAAAGACTATGTCAAATTTTAATATTTCGGTTTTTTACATTTTTACTTTAAATTAATATTTAAAAAATTTCAGTAAAATTAAGTAACCTTTGTGTTGGTCACTTTCACAATTAAAAAAACATGAATGATATAGGAGGAGTGTCAACTTATGAGGAAACACCCTGTACAGTAAAGCCACTTCTCAAATGTTGCAATGTAAAATAGAAATGAACTTATATTGGCACCAGGCGCAAAAATTCAACATTTAGTTTCAGTTTTACGGATTCTGCAGTAAAATATATCTAGATTATTTAAGCTACACCACAAAGAGTGGCTTGTTATAGATATGTCAGGCTTTAAGGCCCGAATTCAAGAACGCCACTCATACGCTACTCATCTCAAATCCAACTCTCACTCATCTGCCACTCACGTTAGGGTGAGATGAGTGGTCCCTAACTAAAGCCAACTTTCGGTATTCAAAAACGACACTAACTGGTTCAAAGGAAACAGATTTAGTAGGTTATGTTCTCATAAGTAAATAACTTCATTTCGGTTCCATAACCTCAGTTCAGCTTTTATTATCACTTTTTTGTTATGGCTGTTTGAAGAAAAAATTACGTTTATAATACATGTTTATTAATTATGTATAACATGAGTGCTAAGCGCAGTTTCATGTCGAGTTCTGAGAAACAATTTCAGAATGGCAGAATGTTCGTATATCAATTGCCAAAGAAATTCTAAAACAGGAGGGAGTGAAAGCAAAAAGACTCGAGATAAATAAACAAATTTAGAAAAAATTGGGGTTTAATACAATACGAAATAAATTTGAATCCGTTGATCTGCTAAATACTGCTGATACTTGGCGCTTCGGACTGCGGAAACCTTTCAGTTGCCTCCATAGTTATACTTTCATCGATTTTCTGGCTGGTGTCAATGGCAATATTAAGAACCACCGCTGTAGCAGCAACAATTCTGGTGGTATGTCGTAATGATACTTCCAAACACTTTTCTAACGTTTAAAACGACCTTTCCATACACCAAAAGCGCCTTGAATAACATTCCTTGTTAAAATACATATGTTATTATATCGCTGCTCGGCTCCTCTTTTTGGGTTTTTTTATGTTTCTGAAGTATACATATGCCTATTCTGGGAATAAGCACTATCTCCATAGAACTGCCATAAAAATTTCTGCTATCATGATCAGAACCTGGCTAATGAATAACAATATCCTTAAGTTCGGTCCAGCTACAGCTTCATTGTTCATGCATTTGATCCACCTTGGCTTGCTATTTCAATGTGGGTGCCATTTATACATCCAATCACTCCAGGAAAACTTGTAACTTGATGAAACTGACGGATTTTAATTGGTCAAAATGCACCAAAATAAATCTTGAGTACGCTATGAGGGGACGAAAAGCCACACTAATTTCTCACTCACTTATGGTACATAACGCGCATGTCTTCAATTCAAAGTTAGGGACAGTTTAGTCACTCATTTAAGAAAATGGTTTCTGAATACGGTTAGGATGAGATGAGTCTGATTTTAGTGTGAGTGATGGTTGAGTGTCGTTCTTGAATTCGGGCCTAAGCCTGAGAAATGAAAATATGAAGATTGTCGTATTAAGCAAGAAGAGTATTCATTTTGGTTGTATGTGGAATTATCACCTTTCATTCACTCTTTTCTTTACTAGCAATACAATATCTTGAAGAAAACATAATTATCGATGAGTTAAATAGTTTATCATACAAAAGAGTCAACAGTTTGTTCTCCCTCACTTTCTACTATATATTAAGTGTATGACTTCCAGCTTTATGGTAGTTGCTGCAATCCAATGTCTATAAAATTCCCAAAATAAATAGTTTTACTATAAACTGTATAAAATTGCCGATTTTCGATTTCATAATAAAAGCTAGCCATTGTGCTTCAAATACGAAATCTCGGTATTTTACTGCAAATTTGACAGATTATAGTGTAAAATCTTTATTAGTGTTTTTCAATAAAAATTAACATATACTTTCAATTCTAACAATGTCAATTATTGATCTAACAATGTCAATTTTTTTTATGTACTATAACAAAGTGTCGTTAGCTTACAAACATAATTAAGGCTCCAACACTTTCTATATATAAGCAAAAAACAGGTTTTCTGTCGTCTGAGCTCAATAGATTTTCTTAACAGGATTTAATTGATATGAATCATCATAAGGCAAAGGATACGCTCAGGCAAAACACAAAGAGTCTTATGAAGCAGAGGAGGAAACTAAATTTCGGGCGTACCACAAATGCAGCAACTACGAAGCCTAAATAGAGATAGATCTCAATGAGCGTCAGGAGAGATATAGGAAAGGTTAAATCTGAAGAAATAGAAAAAGTCATCAAAAACAACAAAAGTTTGAAGGTTCTTCGAAGAAACTTCTCCTCTCGTAACAAGAATATCTGTAGGCTGGAAAAGGGGACAGGCCGTACTACCTCAACTAAGGGTGAAAATTTAAAGTTGGTTGATGACCTTTATACAGAGCTATACAAATAAAAGCAACTAAATTCACCTGAAAACTTGTGTACAAAAGCAAAGTTCAGAGGTTATTCCTGATATTACCCTGGATAAGATAAGAAAGCCACTGAAAGAAATGGAGGACAGTAAAGCCCCAGGCGAACATGTAATTTTTATTGAGTCTATTAAGGCTGTAGGAAACATTTCTTAAGATTAAGTGGGATTATGCTATAATAATAATGCACAAAAAGGGAGACATTGCAAAACCGCCCACCTTCAAACTTTTAAGACTCTGCTAAGCTCTACTGCTTTTAAGACTGAGAAAAATGCATTGAAAACAACAAGCCACTTGTTCTGGCATTCAGAGATTTCGAATAGGCTCGAATCAACACAAAATGTTGTTAGCGCTGGCGAACTATCGTATTGACCATTTATGTACTTCCCTATTGAAAAATGTATACAACTGTATGTGTAAGGTTACATGCAGAGATAAATAAATTTCAAATCGAAAGAGGAGTTCGTCAGGGCGACACAATATATCCTAAACAGTTTTCCACCGTATTGCAATATGCAATTAAAAGAGCAAAGGGAAGAAGTGGGCATCAATATCACCGGAGAGCTGTTGAGCCACATAAGGTTCGCTGATGACAGTGTCATAACTTCCGACAGTTTTGACTAGACTCAGACTATGTTGGAGAGCCTTCATGAAGCGTGCAAAAAAGTCTGTTTAAAAATAAATTTTACTAATACGCAATGTATGACCAACTTTATCATGAGCGAGAATATCTCAGTTAACGGTAGGAGTATTGAGCAGGTTGCCTGATATCTGCGACACGAGATCAGGATTCGCCGAGATAATAAAACCTGAGAGCTGAACAGGAGAAAAGGCTTCGCGTGGGCGGCCTTTGGAAAGCTTAGGGATGTTTCCAAATCAAACATTTATATGTCTTAAAATTTCGGTACCTTTCAGAACAGTGTAAAACTCACTTGGGAAGCTGGGATAAACATGGGCGAAGAAAACAAGATTGCTCCGTTACTTGCTCATGCAGGGGCCGAGCAACCAAGAACCTTGTGACATATCTCATGCCCATGTTAGGGTGGGAGTTGGGCAATGGATCTTGGAAGAACATAGAAAGTACTGGGAGTACAGCGCGACTCCTTGCGGCAAGGCAGTTGGTAGGACCTCCATAACCAGTGCGAAAAACGAACTGTTAGATCGCAGCAGGCAAAAAATAAGGAGGATAGTAGTCTTTTTAACAGGACACGCCCCCCTTCAAAAAACACCTCTTCAGGATGGGACTGAGCGATCAACCGACCTGCAAGAGGTGCGAATCAGAGGCCGAAACTACTCTACATATTGTGTGTCACTGCACGTTATATGCAACAGGTAGACGAAGACTCCTGCGAGGGGATGAAGTTCTACCAGAGCAAGTCTTGCGTATCGCCTCAAGATTCTGTTGGAATTTATTGAATACACAGGGATAATGAGGCAGTAAAATACCAGGGCACAATAGGACAGAAATGACCGCGGTGGTGAGCCAAACACCAGCTCGAAGGTGAGGTAAGGGTTTGAGTGGCTAAACAGCTAAGCTGTAGTCCCACACAGCCTAGAGCGCCAGATCATCAGCTCTGGGTGTGCGTAAGAGAGCATTTCCTAAGCTGCGAGTTGCTCAGAGCTATATGGAGGGTGATCCGGCATAGGACGGGTATGATTGATATCATAGAGAGAGTTGCAACCGTGAAGTAGAACTGGGCCGGCCATTGGATACGAACAACGGATGGAAGATGGTCAAAGCGTATTCTGGAGTGGAGACCAAGGCGCCAAGCCTATAGACACAGAGGCAGATCACCAACAAAGTGGACGGATGATATAAAGAGAATCCTTACTGGATACAGTACGCACAAGACCGAAAGTGGTAGCAGACACTAAAGGAGGCCTATGTCCAGCAGTTGACGCGAACGACTGTTTGTTGATGATGATGAAGAATCATGATGTCTAAGATAGTAACTACATTATCTAATAAATGAAACCGAACTCAAACTTTAAAAATAAAAATATATTAATAGACAATTTATAATAACAATTCAGAAATACCTTTACAGGTATTAGATAATAACCACTCTGTAACGTTAAATTATATACATCTCAGCAAAAATGTTAACAATGTAAATTAATATTAAACGTGTCCATAATAGCTGGGATAATATTGAGAACTATAGTATTTATAACAAAAAACAAACATATTTTTAATATTATTATGTTAGTGCCGATTAAAATTTCTATAATGCTAATACACTTTGAACAACTTTTTTGAAATTGTGGATATAAATGCGAATTATATTGCAGATAATTGTGAAGGAATACATTATATCGTCGGCATCAACAAATTAATTCACTTAACATATATGGTTGACTGTCTAAACTTATTAATTTTAAAATACTTAAAATATTATAGTGCAGGTATAAAATTCTTAGAAAATTGCGAGATTCAGAACAGTAACATAATAGAGATTATCAAACCATCATGCATATAGTGTCGCGACAAATAAATAAATTTAAAGTATACATGCTTAGATGTTTCCAGCCTTTAGTTTATTTCACTTACATAACTAGTCGCCCTAAATGCGCTCAGTGAGTGTTAGGTACTCATCTTTTATAAACTAGAGCATTACATTTTCAGATGATAACATGTATTATATTTGCAAATTTTCAAGTCTTAAATTTCTTAAGTTTTAAGTCGTATCTAAATAACTTTATCTTGGTGTTTTCAAAATATACTAAAGTACAGTGGGGAAAACTGAGCAGATAGCTTAACTGAACAGTATTTTAGTAGCTACTTCCATTGCATCCAGCTGAGCCTGTGAAAATGGTTTACACAGATTATATAATTTGCAATATATGCGAGTGTAAGCTACAGCGGTTGTGCTGGATGTAAAAAAACTGGCAATCCTCCAATTTGTAGTTTTAGATTATCTATTTCAAATGAGAAGAATGCGAATGTTTAGAAATCAATACTTACATTAGCGAACGAACTTGATTTTAGCTTAAATTCGCAAAATACGTATAGAAATATGAATATTTCCAAAACCTAGTTCAGAATACCCTACGTTACTCGGCTTCCATTTTGTTCAATATTATGAATTAAAACAGTTCTAATGTAGATGAAACGTAATTCTTAATAAATCATAGCGCCTCTACTGGTTCGTTCGGCTGCCTTTCCACTCAACGTGTAAAAGATAAGTGGCGAAGGCATACACAAGGGTGTTGAGGATACCAAACACCTGGAAAGAACAAAATAATTAGTTACTGAATCAAAAATAGAAATATGCTTACATTAGTTTAATTTGCAATGTTCCTACAAATTGTGTTAGAGCAAGCAAAAACACTTACAAAATGAACAATCGTATAAGAAGAAATTTTTCATCGTGAGACTCTTGAAAAAGCTAGTATTAGTAACCAACTAGTTAGTAATTACTAATTTATATTTTAAAACGATTACCATCAGCTTAAGTTAAGTCTTTGAAAGTCTACATAAAATAGCTAAAAGCATTCCTGTAATAATTAGGAAGAAGCAAGGTCTTTACCTAAAATCACCTGCAATTTGCAAAATAATAATAAATTCAAAGCTTTACTGGATTTTATCCGGTATGTTAAATTTCCCACGTTAATAATTGAAACAACCTTGTCGTAGAAGGTCAGAGAAACAAAACCGATAAGTGAAACTGTTGACACAAAACCTCTCGGGTATCTTGAAACAACGCAAAATTAAGGATTTAAACCACCAAATCTAATTGCAGCCTTCAATTGTTCAAATGCTGCCAGTAGCAACAGAAAATATTCAGTTAAGATTAATAGAGAGTTAAGGGCTGGCAAGTTTTGAAATTTTTTTCAAAAAAAATTTCAGAACGAAGTGCCAAAGTTCTAAAACATTTATTCCCCAGTTCAATGTTCCGCAAAAAAACGACAAGTCAGTTATTTATCAATTTAATTGTAAAACGTGGAAAAATCGGCTTTTCAAAAAAATTCTACATTATTTTCAATATTACAAAATGGTTAATAGCACAACTGTTTGCAAGTTGCTCGCATTTATCTGTGATTAACCATATTAAAAATCCGTTTAGCCATACAGAAACTTGTTCTAAATATGATTGCAGTATTCTACAAAGAGCGACCAATTTCGACAGAACACAATTGCAAAATTCTAGCTATAATGAATTGAATTCGGTTCCTAACATACAAAGACGAAGGAATTTGTACAAATACCGCGACAAAAACATACAAAGCAATCTGTAGGTCCGTCTTGTACTATGGACGATACATACAGACATCAGAGCAAATTGCACTAAGACTAATAACACGACTAAGACTCCCCCAAATCTCACTACACAATCCATCAAACGAATTACTTTACCAACGCACAAACATGGAGAAAATAAAAACAGACTAAAAGGAACTGACACAAAATGGAAAAACCACCCGCATAACTGGACTATACTAAACCCTCTTTGACCCACAAGACAGACAAGACATTCTCGTTTTCACTTTCCAACAAATACTTTTCCTGAACACCTACAAACGCCAGAACTAACTCAATTGTAATACCATTATGTTTTTATGTAATATTACGATTATTCTAATTTTAAGAATTAAGTGCAGTTTTTTTCCTTTGGAAATAAATATTATATACTATATATGAATTGAATTAACAAATCGTGTATTAAAGACTAAAAATATTGAATAAGTACACGATTGGTTAATTCATTTTTTCCAGTGTGTACACACCAGTTCGTGTTTTGAATCTGATCTATCCAAATATTGCAACAATTTGTTTGCAAATCCTCACGTACCAATTCGTCGTATTTTACTGCTGCCGAGATTTCCTACTTTTTATGAAATATTTGTCATTCTGTACAGGTTTCTACATACTGTACCTGCAGTGCGCCAGAAATAAAGATTGAGGCTTTTGGAATTTCAAAAGAAAAAATGTTGTTTGTCTCTGACACCTAAATGATTGCAAAGTAAATTTTAATAGATCGTATGGCAATTTTCGTTTCCTTATTTTTAGTACTTGCACTTCTTTAATAATTCTTCTCGATACCTCCCTGTTGTTAATTTTTTCAGTTTATTGTACTTTTCAATAGTTTTTGATTTTCGTCTGAGTAACATTACGTGTTCTCCATATCTTTCTAACCAAAATTCTTTCTCTTGCGATTGATTCAGTTCCTATGTGTAGATCGACAGCGTTTACTTTTTATGATCATGGATATAAATAGGATGTTTATTGTAGTTACTCCGTTGAGAGTAACTCTGTAACCATAAGCTTTGTGTTTAATATCTGTAAGTTTTATATAATAAATTGTTGGTCATCAAGGATCATCGGCACAGCTACGACTACTTATTATTGAAGCCTTAATAATTTCATATCTTTACTGGACGCTTTCGGTGTCATGAATATTTCGTCGCTGTATAAATTGTGCCAAAGCAGAGGAAGATCTCAAGCCTGCATGCTTTATTTAATTCCATAAGGATTGGAGTATATTGATTATCCTTTGTATTTTTATCCTTGCCTGAATTTTATAGTAATCCTAAAAGGTTTTTGTGCTTGACGATGTCAAAAGTTTCACACAATTGGCGAAACAGAAATGAAGCTCTTTTTGCGCCTTCAACTATGAATTTTGGAATAAGATTTGCAACGCGGAGAAGAGTTATCGCTTTCAGTGCTACCCAACCATTTTTGAAATTTTGTTTTAACTCTAGCAACATAAATTTCAAACATACTAAGGAGTAATTTATTAAGCTAAAAAGACCATATTCTTCAAATCTCCTGTCCCTTTATTGATAGAACCAAGACAACTAGTGCAAGTTACAAAATACGAGTTGTACAAAACAAAATAGTTTTCAAAGTACAAATTTGTTAGTAAAAATTCTGGAAGATAAGTTGATACAAATCAAAACATGAAAACCAAATAATTGATCATGATCGTGAAATACCGTTGCTATGTATGCAATTTCATGTTGTTTCACTTTAATTTTTTAAATTCCTTATTTTATTCAATGACGTTCTCTAGTACTCCTTTCATTTGCTGAATTAAGTAGCACATATAAGAAATTATTTACCTATTCAAGGTTTAAGAATAATCGGGTCGCTTCAGTTCTTATATAAAAAGTTGGCTCCTCAAATATGGCACAGAGAGATTATACAGAAATTTTACAACACTAATGCAAAAATGTAGATATATCGAAAATCCCAAAAGAACGGAACATATCACAGATTAGCCCAATACACAACAAAAGGGATAAGTTTAGATGCGAGAACTATCGAGGCATTGAGGTCACAAGCACTATGAGCAGAATGATTGAACAAATTTTGAAAAATACGATGGAAATAAATTCAGAAACAGAAGCTCAAGAACAAGCTGGATTTTGTGCGGGTAAATCAGTCGTGGACCATATATTCGCGTTAACGCAAGTTATAGAGACAAGATGGCACGCAACCAACAAATCCATCTCTTATTTGCATTAAGCAAACTCTGAGAAATATTAGAGAAAACAAACATAAATGTCGAGCTAATTAAAGCCATCAAGTCTCTACAAACAACTTGTAATGAAGACAAAATCAGGAAAACAAATAACACCCGGCTTCATAGGATTAAAAGGATTGAAACAAGGATTACCTCACCGACCTTATTCAAAATATACCTGGAGGAAACCTGGAAGAAATTAAAAGAGAAGTGCAATACTATGAGCAAACCAGTCTCAGAGACAGCTCTATTTACTCTATCATCCGCGTATGATCAAGTAGGTACTAATCGCGCAAGGCCACGACGATTTTAGCTATATGACCCGAAAGCTAATTCTATGAAGAATATCAACACGGGAGTCTGCAAGTAAACATACAAACGACAGCGACCATGGTGATAAACGGAGAACAACAAACAACTGAGAAACTAAGAATGTAAGAACACCAAATCCCGAAGCAAGTAATGAACTGGCAGCCAAGAGGGCAAAGACTACCCGGAAGACCGATAAAGCTGGACAGATGGTATCGACAGGGATCTTAGAGACAGATAGAATGAAGACGATCTATGGAAAGGCCGAGATTGATGGAAAATGGAAATCGGAAGACGTCGTAAAACGTTTTTTTGGTGCAGATTTACCCCTTCCCAACCCACTGTTTGGACTGTTCATCCACAGTCACAAAACGACGCCTAAAGTATCGCGGATTGCGCTGCAAAATCTGCAAACCGTCCATACAACACCTCACACGATTTCGTTTTTGATCAATAGTGAGCAATCGCGGCACCCATCTGGCGGACAACTTTTTTAGGCCCAAATGTTGATGCAAAATATTATGCACTTGTTCATTGGGTGAACATTTTTGACCATTTGTAGGTCTTAGGCGATTTGCCTTTCATAAAGTAGTGTTTAATCAGTACGCCAAATTTCAGTTTCAGATGAACACCCAACACAAAAAAATAAACTGATCTTGCGGCTGAAACTTGGTGTGCGTTCTTCCAAGAGATTTTACTAACTAAAAATAATTTCAATAGGCTATCTGCACTATTTTTGTAACATATTGTTTGTAACCGATATGCGAGTCTTGATGGTAAACATTTCAATGCAAGGAAAATGGTTAACAATAATCTCACTTTTCCAATTCAATTGAGAAAATATTTTGCAATTTAACATTGCTCTTACTAGAAGCAATAATCATATTATTTTCATTGGACCGTTTGAACAAAATGTCTGTAATCTACTGTTTAAATATTTTAAATTTTCAATTGTTAAGAAAGTTTGATTTGCGCACTAAGCCCTAATAAACCGTTCATGGAGAAAACGATATATTAGAGTCATCTCTATGCAAATTTAAGGTATTTAATCATTATATGATCTCCATACAGGAATACAGCACTTTCGTGCTTATCACAAACATGTCTGATTCAACAATTCTAATTGCAAAACAAGTTTTAGCAAAATGTCTTTGTTTTTTAGTTTAATCTACTTTGAAACCAAGTGAGAATGTCAACAATAATAATAATGGGTTTGTCCGTGACAAACTGCTATGTTAATTGATAGACATTCCAGTAAGAGAAAGGGGTCACGAATTAAAAATCTAGCTGCCTGAATATGAATTAGTAATAGATAAATTTAGGTATTTAAGAACTCGCGCAACTAACTAAGCTACTTTAGCATAGTCGTTTATGCTGCCCTACATTTTCAACTTCATCTGAGCAATTCAGTAGTTAAGTACGCTCTTTATATGAAGTTTTATTCATATGTGATAGGTAATTGCACATATAATAGGTAAAATAACACAATAAACACGTTATTTTCCATGCATATTTCCTGGTTTATGAATATTTTTTCAATTAATTATCAATTGTATTAACTTGTCCGGCTCAAATGAATATCAGAACCTTCAGCGTTTTGTCATTAAAATATTATGTACTTTCTTTGCAAGCGGAAAACGTTCTTTTAATTATTAATTATATAGGCAAAGCATGTTATAGTAGCAGTATTTAAAAACTTATTTCTACAAAGGGGATTTTTTTAATAGTTCGTTCTTCGTAGGAAAAAAGCTTCAGAAACTTGTCAAATTATTTTATATCTTTTATTTCAATCCGACAGATTGTTACTTTAATAACTAGTTAAATATTTGAAAATAGTTTGTTTACTAATTACTGAGTCGTAAATGCGTAGTGATTTTTATTTGTATTCCGTTACAGCACACGCTTTTATATGGAAAAGGAACCTCACTTTAAGTTTAAGCGGTTCATTTTCATCTGATAATCATAATAAGCACAAACCGCTTCGTGAAAAATAGAAATTTAATTTAAATTTAATAAGGTAAGGTTTTAGAACTCAGCTTTGCCCGATCATTTTTGTCGAACCAGTAGCAACCGCTGATAACTAAAAATAAAATATTACGTAAACGTTAATAATCAATAGAAATTAAATTGAATTGTGCCATTTGGACATGATTTATTTTGTCCTTTAATTAAATTCTATTCAGCTTCAACTAGTATCTTCATCATTCTAAAACATTAACTGTAAACTAACGCTTCGAAAATTATTCCTACTTAAAAGAGCATATGGCTCAAAATGTATTTTTCATTCTTATCGAGATGGTAATAAATTATTAATCTTCCGTTATGGTTTACATTTACGAATCCCTGTATATAACAGCATGGCTTGATTATACTAAGTTTTGATTGTTGTTTATTTCATTATTGAAGGACAGACCATTTAGATTTCACGCTGTTTTTACTAATTTTAAAAAATTAGCAAATTATTTTTTGCTTAAGGATTCATTAAGTTAATAGTGTTTTTCTGCTGAGAATTAGTTTAAATTAAAACTTTCTTGAATTGTCATTAGGAATTTCTCAGATTAACAAATTATATAATGTTTAACGTTAAACGTTTTCCACAGTACACATAATATGTAAAATCAAAGTGTTCTGCTGCGAACAAAGCTTTAATTCGAGCAAAATTCTTCAGAGCAAAGACATCAACTATTAGTGTTTTTCTGTTGTGAATGGCAGTCTAAATTAAACTTCTTGAAGTCTTAGAAGGGATTGCTCAGATGTACACTTTTTAACTTTTTTCGTATAGTTTGCGTTAGTTAATTAAGATGCCCCTGCTAGCAAGTAGCTGGTATGGAGGGAATGCGATGTTACGGCATAACTGGTGTCGGAGCTGATCCATTCTTATTTTATTAAAAAACTACAAGGTTTAAAGATCTGCACATTATCATACACGTATCGTTTCAGGCACGTAGCGAGATTTCTGGCAATAGAACAAGCTTACGATATAACTTATTTACCTCACTTTGTCACGGAAAGATATCCATGAAACTTGAATTGTGAATACTCGTGGAAAAATAAAATATCTGGCTTACCAATTTGCACTCAATTGTTACCAAATTGGAAGGTTTTGTTTTGAGAAAATAACAAAGAAAAAGTCTCATATTTGTGTAATCGTGAAGTAAACTGATATTTATCGCTTTCGTTTGCACTCGTGAATAAAAGAAAATCGAAAATTCTGTAGATCATGTTGCTTTGAATTAGTAAATAGCTCATTCCCCACTCGATTATCCAAATCTTCACTATTCATTGAAAACTTAGTTCTGGAAACACATGTCACGCATATTAGGAGTTTTTCATTTGACCCGATTTTCCGCAATTGCCCTTTAACATAATTGATCTAGTATCTGTTTACTACAATTTTTTTTAAAGAAAATGTAATTTAATTTTTTCGTCAAACTAATAGAACTAAATATTTAATTTAGTAGAATTTTGTGTGTTTTTTTCGCCCTTTTTACCTAAATTTTCGTTTATTGAAATTAACGACTGAAAGCGAACGTTATTTGTTTTGTGAAAAAAACAAATCAACAAATTATTTATTAAGTTGATGCAAGATGCTATAAACAAAACTAGATGGTAATAGATTTGTTGTGGTAGAATTGCACTAATTGGAATTAAAATAGAATCCAAAATATGCAAATCTCGGATAAATAACGACACTTTTAAATTGCAATCTTGCTGCTAGAATTAGTCAAAGCTTTAAAAGGATATTTTTACTTACCCCTGCTGTTATTTGCGCTCCCCTCCTAGGATGCCCTGGATGTAGTGACGACGAAACAATCAGTTGTAGAATGAAAGCGATGAAGTAACAAACTGTGCAAATACCCGTATTTACTAGTTCCTAAAAAAATATCATAATTTATTACATTCAGAACAAGTGTTTTAAAGCGGTGTCATGCTACTTAAAGATCAATTTTATTAACCGGTTAGCTTATATAATTATTAAACTAGTCAATGCAGTCGATCCTTATACAAAACTACAATAGATTTTACACACTTAATGAGCTGAACATGAGAGTAAGCTGGTCTGTTCCACTTGAGTCAAGGTGTACAAATTGTTAAATAAATGTATTTTTGAAATACAAGAAAGCATATTGAAAGTGTTTATTTTACAACTTAATCGATTATCAGCACTGGTACAAAAAATATCGTCGAGTAGGGTTGAGTCTCCCCCAAAAATTTTCTGAAAGTAGCAAATTACTTTCAGGACCTAAATCACAAGAAATTTTTCGAGCATAATCACAAAAACGATTTTGGATTGGAGGTTCGGTGTAAAAGTTATATGGGCTACCTGTCGCAATAAAAATTAAGGACAGATTTACCAGTGTCTAAACTAGCTAGACTAAACTAACCAGACGTCTTTTCGTACAAATATCTGTTTTTAAAATTTTCTTATAAACCGTAAGAAAATAATAAATTTAAAAATCAGTGTGTTTTAATGCTGTGAGTTTATCTGAAAGTTTACCAGTTAACAAAGCTTTATTGCAAAAATAAATTTCAATCAAGCTAACAATAAAGATTGTGCAAAATTAAATTATTTGTTCGCCGCTTTTAATAAAATGTAGAAAGTTTACTGCTTTTCTTAAAATATATAACTTTTAGCAACAACAAGTTGAAAAACCAAAATCCCCTCTTAACATATAAAAGTAACTAACAAACTTTAAAGAAATATGTGACGGTTGGTAAGTAAAAAACCAACCAGTTCATTAAGTCTTTGCATTAGTGACTCTGAAGATCAACAGATGAAGCTGAGGGTTAACCATTAGAAAGATTTGTTTGCCGATAAGCGACTCCTGAAAGGTTTGACAAAATCAACCGCAAACGCAAACAATTTAGAACTAAAATTGAAACACTAAATAAACTTACCAAATATGATCATAAAATCGGAATAGAAGAAAAGATTTTGCGAATACAATATAAAGACTTATATGGATGCCTACAGACGATTCAATCAAATAACTAGCATTGAAGCCACAATTTTGACCAGATGGCATCAACAATTTTACCAAATCAAGTATTAATATAAGAACGAATCATTGGGTAAACTAGTCAAGTGTTCATTTAGTATAAGTAGCACAAGGCACCTGTACTAGAATCTTAGGTATACCAAAGTTAAATACCCTGAATTGCATAGAAATTTTTAATTATATTAAACACTGAAGATTATTTAAGTTAAGGCTAATAAAACCGACAATTATTTAGTAGAATTAAAATATTTAAATTTTGTTAAGAAATATATGTAAATTATGCATTATGTATATGCATAAAATTAAGAAAAGCTACCCGGAAACAAAAGCACGATTTATTTTAGGATATTAAAAAATATTTAAAAACACTAATTCCGTTTGAATTTTGATCTAAAGGGTCCAGTAACACGACCAACGATACAGGATATTTATTGGCTTTTGGAAAACTACTGAAGATTTTCTGATACCAAGGGTCTTAGAGGAAAAAATAATTCTGGATACATTTCAGTCCGAAACAACTTTAATTTTAGTAATCAATTACGAACCAAGAGAACGTTTACCACTAGTTGTGTGTACAAGTACTTACCGTGAGTATCCAGTTAATTGGAAAAGTAAGTGCCTCTCTTATACCCAGAAGATAAACGAATATCCATATTATCGTACCAATAAAACTGACTGTGACCACAAATAGGAAAAAGTGTGATCCTCCATAATATGCTGGGGACGCTAAAGCCATGCAGAAGATACCAAGCACCTGAAACAAACAAAAAAAATATTTTAGACGTTTCTTTAAATTTATTTGTACATTTTTTGTGGAGAAATTATTTACAAGCGGGATATATTCAATACGATGCAATTAAGAAAAGGTGTTTTGTTAGATTTGGAATATGACCTCCCTCCAATAATTGTAGTTAGCCGATGATAAAACTTAATAAATGCGTTCATAAAGAACTATGGTACACAGTAGGGATGGTCAGTATTTAACGTAACCGCTAAAATAACAGTGTTCCAGACGGGTAACCTGTAACCGCAGTTCCGCTTTGCCAATTTAACCGGTTGTTGTTGGAACCGTCTCATCAACCCGAAAAAGTGATTCGGACCAGCACAGAACCGATGCGACATAATCTTGCCAAACACAAGTCACACTTCAAAACACAGTTTACAAGTTCTTAATTACTAGGCGAACTAACAATATAAACAAGATTTGGATTGTAATTAATTATTATACTGGGTCCTCATATACTGATCCTCAACTAATTTAAACGACAAAATTAACTGCCATATTGTTTACACAAAAATATTGCATGACGGGCAAATTTGTTTTAAAATTAAATTGATTACCCAAGAGTTAATAATACTAGAGGAACAGGGTTCAAATTGCGAAAACGTTTTGGTTTGGGTTAATGATTTGCCTCTTAACAAGTTTTATTATTTTCAAATACAATTGTGTTTGCCAGTTTTTCAGATTGAGAAATCCAAATTTTAAATCGTTTGGATCCATTTAAAACAATTTTAATAATTTGTTAAATCTCACGCACACTTTTTAAGTTTTAAAATAACCGTTGTTTTGTCGGCAATATTTCGTTATTCAACAATATCAAAACAAAAAAAATGTACTTAGTTCAAGTAGATATCTGTCTCCGTTTTCGAAACATTTCACATTAAATCTTCTAGTTATTTTTTGACCAAACTCAAATTGCATCTCCAAATAAAAGAAATATTCTGCTTAAGTTTTCAGTAAAACAAAACATATAAAATAAACATAATTTATTTACGCATGTTAAGAACTACTTTTCAGCTCCTCTCCAGACCAAACTCAATAAACTCCTTGAAAATTATTAGTATATAATAATTGTTGAAAATGCTCTCCCCTGACTTCGATATACATATTTATTAACCCTATTATTAAATTATTCTCGTGTTAAAAAAAAATGTTTTCTTCTGCAGTTACATTATTGAAAAATTAAGTATCTACTATGGCTTTTCTGTTTAGGCATAAAAACCGAAAAAGCTGCAAAATTGAATTCTGACATGAAGATAGGAATAAGATTTTGAGGATACTTGTTTTGCTTACACTCGTGGTTTTCGCTACTTGTGTCTGCTAATTTCTTAATTCTGCATCACTCGATTTAAGATTTATTCTTCTTCGTGGCCCCGCGATGTCCAATTAGAACAAAAACTACCAGTTTCTCCAATCCATTGAAACAGATTAACTAAATGGCTCCAGATTATTTGAAGTTGCTCAGTCTGGGAACTACGAGCTAAGTAACCGAATATTTGGATTTTTCGATAGAAAAAATCCCACACACAATTTTTGAAAGTAGTAAAATACCCTGCGCCTCGAAAACTTTTAACTTTCGGATATGACAAATTTGCATATAACGCAATATTTTTGCTCAAGCAATACAATGTATGTCAGTGAATGTTCTCACATTAGTTGAGAATGGGAATAGGACGGGGAATAGGTGGGAACAGACTTGATTTGCTGTTTTAGAGGTTTTCTGCCACATGGTGTGAAATAGATAGCTTCGGTATCACCATCGAATCGTAACCAAATTTAGATGATAAAATATTTTTATTTTGAATTAGCTTCTAGGTAGGTATACAGGGTGTCCCGTGAGCACATGATCAAACGGGTACTGCGATATTCTTTGGATAAGACGATCTGACCTAACTTTTATTAACAAAAAATGTTTGGCTTCTCTGCTATTGATGGTCAAAGTTATTCAAAAAAAATATCTTTTTTGAAATATCGGGAGAATAGTAAGATATATTTTGGTGAGACTGGCCGGGAATTTGTTCTTATGTAAGACTCAAATATTTTGATGAAATAATCGAGTTCAGCCGTTTTGGACAAGTTGTGAATTCTTGAGTGTTGTGGTACAAAAACTACCAGAACTTTTTATTTGGTGGATGAAATCAACTAATTTTTTTCAGTTGATGCACTAATCATTTATTCACAATCTTGTGCTCTTTGTAAAATCTCGCACCATTCACATCGCACATCGTACCATTCTCCCGATATTTCAAAAAGATAAATTTTTTGAAGAACTTTGACTATCAATACCAGAGGAGCCAGATATTTTTTGTTAATAAAAGTTAGGTCAGATCGTCTTCGTTTCATGTAGTATCCCTTTGATCATGTGCTTGCGGGACACCCTGTATATCTACTATTTCTTATCGCCATCCTAAGGAACATAGAGGTGAGTTCATTTTCCAACACTATCCTGCTTCAGTTGCAAAATCACCACCCCAATTAATGAAGCACGGTTATTAAAACTGTTGAAAATATACCTATAATGAGAAATCGTCATTAACTGAATAAATTCACTATTCTTCTAGTCTATTACATAAGAAAGGTCAAGTTTATATTACAATTGAAATTGCTCCAAATGTTAAAGGTCTATATAACTTAGTAGATCAAATTGTATTGAAAACCATGATAATTCACCTGCTTGTCTGGGTTGCCCAAGGAAATGATAAGAAATCTTAACGGTATTCGGCGTTCGTAAACCGAAAGTCAATAGAAGGCAGTGCAGGTATTCAAATAGTAAAAGTCACTGAACCTTTAATATTGTTCATAAACCAGTCACGCAACCATCGTAATAGAATTTTCTTTTTTTACTATGCTACTTTCTCGTGCCACATTATTTACCTAAGGTTAGGTGAACATTTTGATTGAAGATGCTCATGAACTTTTCCAGTTAAACTTGTGTCCCACTAAAAACGTACCTTGTGTTATAGTATATATGTATTTTGAATGCGGAAGTAAATATGTTTGTTAAAATAGCTTCTAATTGTGGGGTTTTATAATTTTAGACTCACCATATGGATGAATTCAAATTAACTATAAATATAAATAAGTTTGTCAACCGACACGATTTTGAATATTTATTTCTGACATCCTCTAACTGCTTTTTGTTCTAAACCCAGCTGTTACGTCAATTACAACAGAAAATTTATTTATTTTGAGTACACAGTGAAATTTTTTGTTTCAAGCTAAATTTGTACGTTGCGGTAAGTGAATGAATGGAAATAATAGCTGTGAGTAATCGAAAGACCATCTAATAATTGATTATAAATTATATGCAAAACGACGAGTAGGTATAGTGTTTTATATTTGATTTAAGTTCGAATAATGGATTGCAAATGATGCAATAAGCCGTAAAGATTTTGTTACCGTTAGATGTGAACATGTTCTAGGTTTTCTCAATTTTTTTTAAACCATTTCCTCTGAAATGTTAAATTCATGGTTTATCCAAGAATGGCAAATAGAATATTTACGAAAATTCGAATTTCTACAAACGCAAGGAATAGTGCCTGCATCACAATATTTGAGTGTTTTAAGTATGCATTTGGACAATTGATCAAACTGCGAAAAAAGTACTTATGTGCCATAAACGATTTTTCCTAAACAGTTTTATGATCAAGAAAGTTAGAGGAACAAATTGAAATGTAACCATATCGCAGCGGTCTTTAAAATATAAAGCGTTAATATATTTCGTGAAATACTTACTGTTAAACAAACGTTTTTTTGAAAATAAACAACTATTGAATTAAATGAAATAAAGCAATTGAGTGACAAAAATATTGGACTATATTTAGTTTTGATCTTCCTCTAAAGATGCTAGCATAGCTGCCGAAACGCGCGTCAAGAATTTATACATTGTTTAGGCAAACTGGTAAAACGTTGATTATTTATTTAATAAGAAAAAATGGTCAATAAGTCAATAACCAATCAAAAATAAATTTATTTTGCTGGACTGGTGCAACGTATATGTAATTGAATCCATGTGCTGTCCTAAATTTGATCACAGTTCTTTACTAAGATTTGATTCATTAAGCAATAAAAATAAAATGTATCTTTTGGCAAAATGCAACTGCCCATGTTTCACATTGCTTGTATGTGCGCCAAACACATATACCTACATCTTATAGTTTATGCAGTGATATCGAGCAGGCCGATTTTTTATTCAATTGAAGGGGCAAATGCAGAGGCAAGTTGTCGTAAGCGTTCACTTCCCAAATTGATATTTTCTGACTCAATTTAGCTACCCCCTTTCTAATTTATGCCTATACCAATGTGAATGTTAAATAATTTGTTAACTATCTATACACGTATATCTAATTTCCAATATTTTATTTGATTCTGATTGTAGCCAGCACAGTTAGAATAATCTAATTTCTCCGACATTTAATTTTTTGTTGTGAATCAGTTTAATGTAATTTTACAAAAAAAGATTTAAGGTAAGAAAAATATAAGTTTCTCGGTTAGATGTTTTGGACAGAATATGTTTCTTAGATCTTCATCGTTTTGTATTAGGGTACTATTCCGAAACCGACAAGATACTAATTTATTTGTCGCATTCTTTGTGAGACAAGATATTCCAGCATTACCATTTGCCTCGATGCAACAACTTGTCCCAGATATTAAAATACACCTTACAATCTATATTCATCGACTATCAACGACAAACTGATCGACCATCTAAAAAGTATAACTTGTACCAAAGCGACATATGAAGTTTTAAGAACTTTACTTTAAACCGAACGGTAGTAGTGCAGCTTGAAGATATGGAAACGGACGAAATCAACATCCGAAAAGGCGTCCAGCAGGACGTCCGGTCCCCGCAATTGTTTAATTTGAATTCGCAGTTTGTGCTTTAAAGGGCGCTTTACGAGAGAGAAGAAGGGGTGAATATTGGAGGGAGGCTAATCAATAATATTAGATACGGAGGCGATACTGCAATACTA